AGATAGTGGAACTATTTGGGAAGGACTAGGAGGTGTAACCCTCTTAGAGGAGATGTGTCACTGGGTAATGGTTTTTGATATTTTCAAAAGCCTATACCAAGGCCAAAATATCTCTCTCTCTCTCTCTCTCTCTCTCTCTCTCTCTCTCTCTCTCTTTCTTCTTATCTCTGCCTGCTGCCTGTAGATCAAGAGATCAAGATGTAGATAAGCAGTATGAAATTACATGTTTTACTCACTGATCTATCCCCAGGATCCAGAACAGTACCTGGAGCAAAGTACTCCAGTATTATTTGTTCAGTGATTGATCATAAATATGAATAGTCATGTCTTTAAGAAAACAGCGCTAAAGAACTATCATGAGACTGCCAGATGTTGATCGTTATTCAAATATTCTACTAGACCATCCATCCGCCTGGTCCACTTTCCATCCATCCCTTCATGTGCCTCTGGAACACCACAGGTCTACATGTGGTAGCTCTTGTTGTACCCTGAACGAAACACATCATAGAGGCTGAACTCTGTACATTTGAATCTCGCTAAGAGATACGAAAAAAAATATTCATCTCTGTTTTAAAGGGACTGATTTCTTAGAAAAAGAACACACATTTAAACCAATGGCCACACTACATAAAATTATAAAACACTAATAAACTGCAACTTAATGTGTTAGATGGAGTGGAACACACACACACACACTCCCACACACACACACACACACACACTCCCACACACACACACATTCCCACACATTCACACACACTCACACACACACACGCACACTCACACACACTCACATTCACTCCCACACACTCACACACACACTCACTCACACTCACACACTCCCACACACTCACACTCACACACTCACACACTCACACACATACACTCACACACACACATACTCACACACACACACACACTCACACTCACACACACTCACACACTTATTTTAAACCTGAAAGTGAAACAGTTCCTGTTATTAGTACAGATAATTGAAAACGTTCCCTGAGCAGTGCTGCTATTTTATATTCCTGGCTCTGCTCTTCCTTCTACCATACACTAAATGGTATTTATTCATTTATTTATAGTTTTTTTTCTTCATAGCTATGAGAGTGGAAGCAATACCTAGAAAATAAAAAACTTTGGATGAGCTATTGATAGATGCAACTCAATATTAACATAAATGTTTAAAAAAAAAAAAAGCTGGAGAGATGGCTTAGCAGTTAAGAGCAGTTGCTGCTCTTCCAGAGGACCAGGGTTTGATTCCCAGGACCCGCAACACCATCTGTAACTTCATTTCCAGGGGGTATCCGATGCCCCCTTCTGACCTCCGCAGCTCAAATATGCATGCGGGCAAAACACTCAATCAAATAAAATGGAATTAAATTAAATTTTAAAGTAAAATGTAACATCAAACAGACAAAGAAATCAAGGTGTTTCCACAAATTCAAAAGGACTTCTACAACAATGCAAGTGATAATACTCTAGGAAAAGAAAATCAAGTATTTAAACTACAAATGGGGAGGGGGGACACACAACTTTCTAAGATTTACTCATTAGAAATGGTATTACTTTGTTAAAATGAAAATGCTATTGTATAATCAATACAAAGTTTGGGAAGTAAAGAGAAAAGAAATACCTGCACCCTTATACTCTAAGATTTTTTGTCTTAAAAAAAAAAAAAATTCAAAACTCAGCCTGAGTTTTCTAAGCTAAGCAACCGAGATTCAAATGATTCTCGCTAAATTTTCATGACATTGGTGACCAGAAATAAGTTCTTGTCATGAAATGCTGTGTGCTCTGTTACAACCTCAAGTCTTCGTGAACATGTTATGGCTGTGGCCAGAGCAAAGGAAAACAGTAGTGTCTCTAAATCAATCATGGGCCACGAAGCCAGACAGACTGTGTGACAGATGCAATTTCTCTTGGCACCACTTGGGCGTAACTAATTGATGACAATCGTATGTCCACGCTGGCACGCTTCCACAGGGGATGTGTGTGAATATGTCGCCACATCTGGATGCTAGGCATGTCGGGGTCCCGAGGCACAAAGACCTGCTAAACCCAGAGGCTCGGCAGCTGCTCTCAATGAACACCGTGGGAGCCGCACAGAGTGATGAAAGAACGCCATTACCACAAACTGTAAATACAGACTTATTTCATTAAAACACGAGGTAACTGCCGCAGCCACCTCTCATTCGCACAGACGTGTGCCTCTCCATTTAAAAACAAAAAACTGCAGCATCCATGTGTGCTTTATCAAATTTTCATTTCTCCTATAAAAAGATTACAACAGGTACGTGAAGCAAAATCAAAGTTTACCTGATTCCCTTTAATTACAAAAAAAAAAAAAAAAAAAAAAAAAAATCCACACGGAAATTAAACTGGAAAAGTCTGACAGACCACTGGCACCATGTTTGTAAGAATAGTTCCCTTCCATTTCATTCAAAATACAAAATTCAAAACGTCTTGTTCAAAGCCTATGCTGAAAATCCAACGAAAGATAGTAAAAAGTACAATGTATCATATGTAACTCCATTTATAATACGAAAGACAGACAAACATAACCAGCATCAGAAATCGGACTGAGCAATAATTTTATTCTGATCCTACATTATGAGTTACCAACAAATTTGACTATTTTTAACAAGTGTTTTCAACAATTATGCAAGACTATGGGGCGTTTTTATGAAAAGGTTTCTGTTATATTCAGAAGATCACTCCAGTAAAAGAAAACTTACAGCTGAGAACCCCCTTCCGGATGTATAATTAAATCTCCCATAAGCCTTAAACAATTACTCTCCCTGTGCAGAGCAGCAGAAACCATTGTATACAACAGTAGCTCATATATGCCATCCTGGATAAAATTCTCATTACCTGATATCTTTTCAGACTTCTTCATCTATCTTATCCACATCTGACTCAACAGTCATGAGGACTTTCTCTGGGGAGTGGGGTGGATACGTGCATGTGCACGTGTGTATGCATGCGTGCATGCGTGTGCGTGCATGGATGCATGCGTGTATGCATGTGTGCGTGCGTGCATGTACAAGCACATAGGTCAAAAGTCAAGCTCAGGTATCAGAGACTGACCTCACGGCAATGGGACTTGCCAATTAGGTTAAACTGGCCAGTGAGCACTAGGGATTCGTCTGTCTCTACCTCCTCAACGCTAGGCGTACAGGCACAGGCTACCATGCGCCCCTTTATACATAGGTGTGGAAAAATCAAACTCAGGTCCTCGTGTTAGGACAACAAGCACTTTGCCTACTAAACTACCTCCTCTGCCCTTCAGATTATCATTTTTGACTCTGCATCCATTTTTCTAACATGCAACTGGCTTTCTAAGCTGTCTTGTTCACCTGGCTGATCAGTGAGTAACAAGAGAGGTATGCCAAATTAAGGACTCCCTTGACTGAGGATAACCAAGACATGAAAGCCATCTTTCACGCTCTGTTTTATTATGACTGCCACTCACCCCTAAATGTTCACATGGTGACGGGAGGCATCGCTAATATATTAGACTTGTTCACATGTGGATTGAATAAAGAAAGTAGCCTCTTCTTTAGGAGAATCATATAACACATCCTTTTCACTTGTAGGCTTGCAAGGGCTTTTAAATGGCATGATGATGGCCAAAAAAAAAAACAAAGGACAGCTTAATAACCGATATAGAAATAAGAGTGAGTAACCAAAAAAAATGAGGGCTTTTTATATTTTAATGAAAAACCAAAGTCAATGACTTTTCTCATCCTCAATTTACTTAAGATTGTCACCAAATATGAAAATGCTGACCCCTCCAACCGTAAAACAGCATCTTGACACCTTCTGTATTTAAAAACACAACTATATATTTTAGAAAGGAACGGGGCAGGAGTGACAGAGAGAAGGGTAGGAAGGAAGAGGAGAGGAAGAAGTAAAACTCATCTGACACTAAGACCATCTAAGTAACCTCTGACCTTGTGGTCTATGTCTCTTTTATAACCATAAGTGGGTAGGACATTCAAAGAACAAGATTGATTCTTCATCCAATTTGGCACAGATACCCTGACAAGGTCTAGGTCCTCTGTTGGGTTTATTTCCTTGCCATCTACCCCAAGACTAAAGAGTAAGGTTGACATCTAGAAGGAATTATCATTAACAGACATCAACATCCTAATGAACTAACTCCATTCCATGAATTATCTTGTGTCTCTGAGTTATGGTACCAAGTCAATGCAAATGCTAGGGAATCCACAAAATGAACAGCAGTGCTCCTACGAGGGAAGACCCCAAGAGCTCACAGTGTCTTTACTAAGTGCTGAAAAAACAGTCCCTTAATGGGGACTCGGAGAGGAATAGTATATAACCACAGCACTGCAACAGTCATCGACGTTCTTCACGTAAAAGCCCTGTTTTTGTGCTCCTAGGGAATGACCTAGGTGCCTGCACATCCCCCACTCCTCTGCTTAACACCCTCCCAAGAGCATCCGATGCTCCCAAGGCAAATGGCAGAAACACCAGCAGTGGGAGTAGTTTTCAAAAGGTTCACAGCCTCAGAAGAGCACTCCAGCAGTCCTTCCCACCCAACAGCTTCAAAACTAGGTCAGCAAAAAGCAGCCTGCAGGCTTCGTACAGGGCTCAACTCTTCAAATAAACAAATAAATAAACAAGACAAATACTCCTTTGGAGGCCTGAAACAAAAAAGAGTACAACCTAGTGCAACTCAAACTGTTGGCACGGCCTTGCCCCAAATCAAAGCACAAAGAAGCACAATCTCAGGCTATTCCCATTCATAAATATCCTGGAATTTGGGACAATAAGGTTTCTCTTTCACAAATGAGTCTATTGGACAGAACAGCAAGAAACTAAGCAGAAAGAGGTTTGGAGGCATTTTGACAACATCTTGTCTTCACTTAGGGTTACTTGTCTTAAAAATCAAGTGGAGAGGCAGTCATCTCTTTAAAGACTCATCAATCCCCTTTCCTTCACACCCAAACATTTACAAACAGCATCCTCACCTGACTTTTTTGCCTTGCTCGGTAAGCATCTTCACCAAATCGGCAATGGGGTACTGAGCTTTGGCTGCACAGAGGCCATAACCTGAGAGGGGACATTAAGAACACAAAAGAATGTGGCTTTATTTTTTTTTTTTAGATCTATGGATTAAAACCTCTCTCTTGATGAAAACATATTTCAATTCCAACATAGGCATTTAACTGGACCAAATGAAAGCAGATTTATTATAAATAATCTTTAAAAAATAAAAACTTAAATTTTCATTATTTTGTTATTTTACATATTTTGTGTTTATATTTTATATTTATTATCCCTTATATGCCTTTTTTTGTCTAATGAGAGACAAACAGGCATGGATCCAAATAGGAGGGGAGGGGTAAAGCAACTGGTATGAGTAGGGAAAGTAGAAACTAATCATAATGTATGAAAAAAATCTTGTGGTCAGTAAGTGACCACAAGGAAACATTATCTTCTGGGCACAGCAGGGCAGCTGCGCACAAAAATTCAAGTGGTTGTCATAGTTTGCATGAAGCCTATGCAAATTCAATCCAAAACAAATCCCAACCTGGAGATGGCAGTTGGGCATGAAATCCCACTCTTAGCAATGGAGTTATTGGCAACTGTCAGTTGCTGAAGACAGGGCTCCTGGGAGGGTCAACCACGCTCCACAGGAGGACCACACATCCAGTAATATTTGGGTAACACAAACTAGTCTTGATGAGGTAAATAAACATACACACACACACACACACACACACACACACACACACACATACACACACACACATACGAAGTTGGGTGAGCAGAGAAGGAAGAAGGCTGGGGATGAATGTGCTCAAAATCTAGATGAAATTCTCAAAGGCCAATAGAATCTTTAATGAAGAGGTTTCAATTTACCCTTTTCCTATTATTCAGTGTAATCAATTAGAACAGCCATTAGAGCTTGTTTTGTGATGTAGACTTTACTTTTCTTTTACCTGGAGTGATAACAATGCTGTTGGCTTCCCGGATCATCTCAACTGCATTGTCAAGGTTGATTTCCGTATGTGTGCCAGAGATTTCCATCGGTTTTCCACCGGCTGTTGAAGTTGTACCATAGCCTCCAAGAATCACATTAGCCAGGGAACGATTCATTGCCTAAGGAGCAAAATCATCAAATATGAGAGTTCAACCCACGGAATTCTTTGAGAATATACATGAAACTCAACGTCATTTTAAAGGAATTTCTTTAATTATTTAAAGAATTTTAGCTAGACTGGCTTCTAAAATTAGTTCAAAACTTAAATAACAGAGAACTCTATCAATTTTATAACCAGGTCAACCGCACACTAATGTTTTCAGAAAAAATAAAAAATAAACAACTGTTTTAATGCAAATTATATGCAAAGTACAAAAATTAATGAAAAATTCGGATGTGCTATTATCGTGTAGATATTGAATAAGCAACTTCTCTCTCCACATTTAAATGTACTTCACCAGAGTGAAAGAGAACCAGAGAGATTTATTTGCAAGAAGAAAAAAATGGTCACAAATTGACCTTATCTGTCTCTCCAGTAGATTCTGCTACTGCAAGCAAGCTGTCGAAGGAGGAATTCAAATGATCATTACATATTTCATTTGGAACTCCACAGTCCTTTGCATTCAAACAAAATCTGGGGATGGACACTCTCACTTTCCAAATCTACTACAGCTCCTTGAACTCTTACACCTGATTCTCATAGAGGCAGATGGATTTGTCATTCTAAATGCTTCTAAAGGTTCCACCTACATGGAAGTGGGTGAACAGGCTGATTTATTCTTTCTGTCTGGGCCTGTTCTTTCACTAGTGAGATGATCTCAGGAGAAAATTCAGAGAAAGGCATGGCTCATTCCTGGTGTGCTCACAACCATCCAAGAATGACCCTTACATATGCCCCAATTAGACCAGGAGACAATAAGTGTTCTAGTTTTGTGAAGAGTAGCTGCAGGCAAAAGGTAAAAGGAGAGAAACCAAATGTTTTGAGGAACAAAACATATTTTAAGAATTCAAATGACTTACTGTTTTAGTTAAGGTTTCTGTTCCTGGGATTAAACACCATGACCTGATGGGAGATGTCATTTTGTATATGTTTTTCATACTGGTTAATGAATAAAGCACTGTTGGCCAATAGGAAAGGAAGATAGGCAGGACTAGGAGACAAGGAGGAAAGAGGAAGTAGTAAGGAGCGCTCTCGGTAAGACCCACATAGAAATACATAGAAATGGGTTAATACTTAAGACAAAACTAACCGATAAAAAAACAAGCAATTGGCCAACAAAATTGTATCTAATACAGAGTCTCTATACATTATTTGGGGCTGGCGCGGCGGCGGGACAAGACCAGATGACCGAAAAAAAAAAAAAAAAACCTTACTCATTACAATGACCAAAGGCAACTTGGGGAAGAAGGGGTTTATTTCACTTACACTTACACATCACAGTCCTTCACTGAGAGACTTCAGGGTAGCAACTCAGGGCAGGAGCTGATGCAGAGGCCGTGGAAGAGGCTGCTGCTCACTGGCTTGCTCCTCGGGGCTTGCTCAGTCTGCTTTCTGATGGCACCCAGGACCACCAGCCCAGGGGTGGCACCACCCATAGTGAGCTGAGCCCTCCCACATCAATCATCAGTCAGGAAAAATGTACCACAGGGTTGCCCACTGGCCAGTCTGGTGGGGAAATTTTCTCAGCTGAGGTTCCTTCTTTCAGAACAACTCTTGCTTATATCAAGTTAACATAAAGCTAGCCAGCACGCACGCTATCCATGAATCAATGAGTTTTACACGATGAGTACTTCATGGGGAGAAAAATACTCAAAACCATTCAAAGCTTATTCTAATGGTTGTAGTCCATCTACTATATCACTTAAATGCTTACAGTTATTAATCTATTACTTTTTTCAAAGACAGCACTCTATTTAAAAAGTTAAAAAAACACACACACAAAGTGTTTAGAAATCTTCACTAATACCACATCATAAAAACACAGAGCCATCCATACAACAATAAGTAGACCAGTGACAACCTTGTAGAGACATTCACACAGCTGGGGAGGTCTAGCAATAAGAAAGAGGGGAGAAGGAATGTGGAAAATAGCCATACTTTAATAAATAACATAAATTTCAAAGATGATGGATAAGGGGATAAGAGAAAGTTTGATGTTTCGAATTAACATACTAATCCCAGCGTGGCAGGAAGTTTATAAACTCTTGAATAAAAACTGAAACAGTCACAACTGAGACTCCCCAAACATTCAACTTTTGATGTCTATAAATCTTTTCTAGTTTTGATTGTAAGATTCAGAGATTCAATTATCAAAAATATGTTCTACTAAAAACTCTCGCCATTAAAAAATACATTTTTAAAAACCTATCTTGGAGGCTGGAGAAATGGCTCTGTGGTTAAGAGTGGTTGCTGAGCAACCATAAGGATGGGAGTTTAGATCCTAGTTACCCCACCCGCCCACCCCAAAAGCATGGTCCCACACCCAACAGCAATCAATGCACTGAGACGCAGCCCTTGGGTGGGTTGCTAGCCTAGGCAAAACTATGAGTTCTAGACTCAGTATGAGACCCCACTTCAAAGTATCAAGGCAGAGAATGACAAAGGAAGACACTCAAGGCCCTCTCTGTCCTCCATATATACAGGCCCAACACACATGTGTGCATATACATACATGCATATACTTCACACACACACACACACACACACACAAAGACTATTTAGACGCCGAGGTTGCTGTTAGAGCAAACTTTTTTGTTCAATGGACAAAGAGTCCTCATCACTTTACGAGAGCAGCAACAGATCACAGAAGCACATGACGTAGACAGATGTGTGAGGGCAGGAGCCTATCTCTGTAGCTTGGCATAGGAAGAAGCACTATTCCTCTTATGAAATGGAACGGGAGAAGAGGAAAGACTCTCCGAGGATATTTAATTAAAGTGCACTCACTTGGGAAGGAACTTAGGGAGAGAGAAAAAAAAAAAAATAGTGGCTTAGCAATCAAAGTCTGCTAGTTAAACACATAAGCAAAATTATATCACCATTATGCGAATTCCATGTGGCCTCTTTAAAATTACATTACTTTTCATCTCTTAATTTACCATTGCAACATTGTGTTCGCAACAAATGTTTAGGGTTTACAGCTTTGTGCCTCTTTTTTTCCCCTTTTATTTTATTTGCTTCCTCACGTGATTCATGAGACTATCCTGTGGCCACTTATTCTCAGACTGAAGGATTCTCTGATTCTAAGACAAAAAATGAAAAAATAAAATAAAATTGCCACACTATCCAAGCCTTTTCCTTTTGAGCTAATAAGTCCCATAATGCATGCTGTGTTCTACTTTAAAGAGATCATTAACTCACATAATTCCAGCTACACTGAAAGAAATTAGTCTGAAGACAAAAGAAAGGTCATAAAATAGCCAAAACTGAAGCAATGTTATATATACCATTGAGTGCTGTCTTTTGTCTCAACGCTCTGTAGGTACTGATTAATCAATCACAAAGAAAAATAAATAAAATACAATTCTATTTGGCTTCGTTTTTGAGTTTTTCTAATTCCATTTGAAAAGAAAGAGGGTTTATTTTTTGAGGGGGGGAGGTCTGGAAAACATTGCTTTTCCCACTTGCTAAGAACTTCATCTCCCAGGTGATATTACAAGCAGAGGGACTGCAGAATCATAAAGAGGTTGATTATTATAGTATGGCATAAAGCAAATCATGGATATGTGTTTGCTGTTTGGACGATGTCAGCTTTTTTAGTTTTTATTATATGGCTTGTTGTGTAAGCACAGCACTGGGCTCAGAGGGTACCCAAAGGAATTCATGGTCAGAAGAAAAATGTGATTTTAGAGATTGTTGGTTAGTCACTTGGGGAGCATTCCACTTCCTCCCACATAATAGAACCACCCTGCTTTGGTTTGGACTGCCATGCTTGCTTCAATAAACACTACAGAAGGCCAGTGTACTGGCATCTTATGGACTCTAATAACATGTGCTACTATAGCCTACCCATAGATGACTCCAAAATAATAATGAAACTAGCAAAACAGCCCTTTAATGTCCTTTAATGAACATCCGAGGTTCATTTACCAAGCAGTGTGTCCATTTGACTAAGCCAAGTACTAGATCAGGCTTTGTAGGCACACTGGTGAGGATATGAAAATACTTCCTCCACAAAATAAGACATTTCCTATCTCCAAAACCACTGTGGGGATTAAATATGTTAACGTTTGTAAATTACCCAACGTTAAGACTTGCAGAGTTTAAATAACTTTTTAACAGCCAGCATTTCATCATTTTTTATTCTAAACTACCTTGAGCAACATATTAAACATAAATCTTAAAAAAAAAAAGACAGTTTCTTATACTAAAGCAATACATGCTATATAAGTCAATTACAGTGGAAAGAAAATGTCAACTATAAAAGAAATTTAGGATGAATAAACAGCATCTACTTTTAATGGCTCAAAATGTGGCAGGCTTGCTTTTAATCTTTATTTTTTATTGGTTTCTCAGTTTTGTAATTGGAAGATGCACAATGCCCACCACCGCTAAGAGCTCAGTTGTGAAGGTTCTCTGAGTCCCTCTCATCAGCATCAGAGCCAACAAAAAGAGCCTCGCCCTCAGACCATGCCCTTGTTCTAGTAGACACCATAGAGGAGGTAAGGATGCTTGGGGGAATGCTGCAACCAGAATAAAGTTCAAAACATTTCACACTACGAGTCTGGATATAGCACGATAGGGCTACATTTATACTATGTAGGCACTAAAAGTATATGAGTCAGAAAATTAAATGTTAGGGGCTGAAGAGATGGCTCAGAGGTTGAGAGCACTGGCTGCTCTTCCAGAGGTCCTGAGTTCAGTTCCCAACCAACTACATTTGTGGCTCACAACCATCTATAAGGAGATCTGGTGCCCTCTTCTGGCACGTAGGCTTACATGCCTGCAGAACACTGTATGCATAATAAACAAATATTTTTGTACAAAAAAAAAAAAAAAAAGAAAGAAAGAAAATTGAATATTAGAATTACATAATACATTAAAAGGAGAATAAACGTGGACACAATGGTCTGGAATTAGAATATCAGATGTTGAAAGTTAAATGATGAGTAGGAATTGTGTCATTTTATTTTCCCTTAACCTTTTCTATCCCACCAAGTTCCCTGTATCTTGTGCATTTATAACTTTCTTTCTGAAATAGGCTCTTCATAGGTACAAGCGGGCCCTGAAGTCTCTATGCAATCCCAGCTGCCGTCAAAAAACAACAACCTTTCAACTTCAACTTCCCAGGTGCTGAGATTACAAGTGTGTGCAGCTATGCTTGGCTCATAGTAGGGTTTTTTTTTTTCTTTTATTTTATTTGTTTTTAAACTGTTGGGCCTTGGCTGGCTTAGCACTCACTATATAGACCATATTAGCCAAAACACACACAGATCCATCTGCCTCTGCCTTCCATGTGCTGAGATCAAAGGCACACACTACTCCATCTGGTCTTGGAGTAGTCTTTTTAGTTAAGGCTTTAGCTGTCCTTAAATTCAAATGACAAAAAACATAATATCACACAAAGTATTAATCTGATCTCACATATTTATGATCCCAGACAACTATCAGTATATATCAGTATGTGTTAGTGTAAGAATTCAAAACATCAAAATTCCTCTTATCCCCTTATCTATCATCTTTGAAATTTATGTTATTTATTAAAGTGTGGCTATTTTCCACATTCCTCTTTCTTATTGCTAGACTTCTCCAGCTGTGTAAATGTCTCTGTACGGTTGCCACTGGTCCACTTATTGTTGTACTGTTGTATGGGTGACCCTGTTTTTTGGGTTTTGTTGTTTTTGTTCTGAAGTGGTATCACTGAAGATTTCTAAACACTTTGTTTTGTTTTAACTTTTTAAATAGAGTGCTGTCTTTGAAAAAAGTAATAGGTTAATAACTATAAGCTTTTAAGTGATATAGTAGATGGACTACGACCATTAGAATAAGCTTTGAATGGTTTTGAGTATTTTTCTCCCCATGAAGTACTCATCGTGTAAAACTCATTGATTCATGGATAGCGTGCGTGCTGGCTAGCTTTATGTTAACCTGATATAAGCAAGAGTTGTTCTGAAAGAAGGAATCTCAGCTGAGAAAATTTCCCCACCAGACTGGCCAGTGGGCAACCCTGTGGTACATTTTTCCTGACTGATGATTGATGTGGGAGGGCTCAGCTCACTATGGGTGGTGCCACCCCTGGGTGCCATCAGAAAGCAGACTGAGCAAGCCCTGAGGAGCAAGCCAGTGAGCAGCAGCCTCTTCCACGGCCTCTGCATCAGCTCCTGCCCTGAGTTGCTACCCTGAAGTCCCTCAGTGAAGGACTGTGACGGGGAAGTGTAAGTCTAAAACAAACAAGCCAAAAAAGTAAAAATAAAAGGGGGATAAGATAGCTCAAATCTTGCAATTTGATTTTTTGATTTTAAAACTCATTTTTCCTTTAAGCAATTGTGAAAAATCTGCTGCCCCCTGCTGGTCATTCAGAGTCTCCAAATGAGATGAAATGGTTTGGAAGTTCACCCTTGACAGAAACTCTAGAACTAAATAACAACTTTCCCTTAAAGGTGTCTGTAACTCAGACACCAGAGAGCCTGGAAGTTTTCAACAGGAAGGAAAATTTCCAAATTCCAAATCTTCCAAACTTCTTGGAAACTACTACTACTAGCATTCTAATCAGGCCGTTTGCAATGTGGGCTGTCGAGCCCTGTGTTTTACAAGATGAGCAAAAGCACAAAAAAAAAAAAAATACTTTTATTACAAAAAGGCAGCTTCGGTATTTTAATTAACATGATATCTCTCAGGGCAAGAAAAATGCTAGGATGTTAAAATGAAGGTTTTGTGTGACCTGGGTAACCAAAGAATCAAGATAAGCAAGGCTCCCACCACCCCTCAGCCGAAAAGCTTTTAGACCATTACAGAGATCCACAACTCATCAAAACAGAGTAAGAGGCCGCAGGGGGCCCAGCCCCAAATGATGCATCTGCGAGGTATACCATACACCTAAGCCTCGGGGAAAACAGAGGAAGGGGAGAGAGAAACATTGTAAGGGCCAGAAGATGGTGGCCACTGCTAGACAGTCTCCTAGACATGACAAAGAGAATGCACCCGTGAAACCTGAGCAAGATGGTTGCCTCAACAGGACCAGCAAAGTTTCAAGACCAGATGAGTGCCAACATGGATGGGAAGTTCCACAAAAATCCCATGCCTAGATGAAGAGCTACAGGTGCTCGATGGCTACCAAGAAAGGACGGATCCGTGTCCTCCAAGGACTCCCAAGTGGTCAGCCCTGGACATGTGTACATAAAAGCAAGCAACACTAAATGGACTCAGTATGTTGTCTACACATATGTATACATATATTACGAAGAAAAGATCTTGAATTGGGGGGGGTAGACATAGAAGAAGTCAGAGAGGGGATGGAAGGGTGTCATAGAGTGTTCATGTATAAAGCTCTCAAAAAATATTAAATTTTCCTTAAAAACTAGGTGGCTGGAGTGATTGCTCAGCAGTTAAGAGAACTGGATGTTCTTCCAGAGGGATCCAGATTTGAGTCCCAGCACCCTCGTGGTGGCTTACAACCATGTCACTCCAATTCCAAATCCTTTTCTGGCCTCTGCAGTTACCAGGCACAAAAGCGGTACATAGACATGCATACAGACAAAACACCCATAACATGTGAATGATCTTTTTAATTAAAATTTAATCAAGAACAGGGGTGTATAATTGTCCTAAATATATTATTAAAGTGTCATACAATAAGGTTATCTGTAAACCTGAGATGCCTATGTAAGCCTTGGAGTAGGTTTTTTAAGTGACTTTTTTTTTTTTAATGGTTTATTTTTATTTTACGTGATTGGTATTTTGCCTGCATGTATGTCTGTGTGAGGGTATCAGATCCCCCTGGATTTGGAGTTACAGTCAATTGTAAGCTGTCATGTGGGTGCTGGGAACTGAACCCAGGAAGTGACCTTCTTAATTCAAATGTTTAGAGTTATATCTTACATAGTCTTGGTAAAGATGCAGACACTGAAATAAATGTTTGTTTGTTTTTTTAAGCCCATTTGTTACAAAGCAACACAAGCGGGATTCAATGGCGATCCAGAATGATTCTGTAGAGAATGATAACTAAGTTAAGCAAGTTTTCTAGTCAAACTTGTAGTCATTTACAAGCTACCTTCTGCCATCAAAAAGAGAATTAGAAACAAAAAAGGAAGGTGGAAGTATTTACATTGCTGCTTGTCTTTCTAGTCTCTTCTTTAAAAAAAATAATAAAGTCACATTGACCATAAACCTTCCTTGACAGGCATTCTCATAGATAGCCAGGAGAAGGGTGGGAAGAAAAGGCCTCTAACATTCTTCCTAAGAACTAAAGAATTAAAAATGCAAATGGATGGATGTGGGAGGGAATCATGAAGTCCCCACCCCAGCTGAGGAACTACTGCTAACTGATGGCCTCTCAGGGCCTCAGGGAGGGAGATGTAGTCTCAGAGAGTCGCAGATGATCCTACATCATGAACATTAAGTGGACTCAGTGACGACAAAAAAAAAAAAAAAAAAAAAAAAAATCCCACAAAGTTGGGAAGGAATAGTGGTTGGGGGTTGCGGGGGGCTTGGAGGGGAGGAGGAAAAGGGAGGTGGGTTATTTTTCTTTTGGAGACAAGGTCTCACTGTGCACCCTGGCCAGGATGGTCTCAAGCTGAGATCCACCTTCCTCTGCCTATGCCTCCTCCAAAGTTGCTGGAATAAAGGTATGTGTACCATACCCAACAAGGGGGCTGGATTTGATAAAAATAAATACAGATAGATGATACATAGATAGATAGACAGACAGATGATAGATAGACAGACAGATGATAGATAGATAGATGATAGAAGAAATTTTCAAATAATAAATAAAACATATGAAAAATGTCAAAGACACACTATACACAAAAGTAAAAACCAAATAACCTACATTGTGAAGTACTGAGGAAGTTTAAATGAACATTGTATAACCACATGATAGATTACTGCAAAGCCCCTTAAATACCATTTTTAAAGGCAGGGTCTTTCATGATTAAAAAGGCGAGACTAAGCAGTATGTAATGTTTTAAAATGTAAGTGAAAGCTAGGTACAGCGCGTTATCATGAATTCCTGTAATCCTAGCACTTGGGAGACTGACGCAGGAGGGTTAAGAGTTCCAATCTCAAATTCAAGGCCAGCCAGGGCTATGTAGCAGGAACCTGTCTCACACTACGGGTTGTAGGGGAATTGAATTGAAAATTTCAGTGAGGTCAGACAAGTAAATACACACTGCGATACAAACAAAAAGAATGGTAAAATTAACCTAAACTAAATGATTATGTGTTACCCTTAACATGGAGAAAGACATTCGAAGAAAGTCGAAAGACTTTCAAGTTTTCCTAATTCTTTGCGGTTGAATATCTTTAAAATAGCCTCAGAAATTTGCTCTGGAAATCCTCATATTTCTGCTGAAAATAACTAGAACCGATAGCCTTATTTTTTTTACTACAAGTAGGAGAAAAGAGATGTCCACGTCTCCAGGATGTCAACTCTGTTCCCTTTCACGTGTTTTCTTACCACACACATGATGTATGACAAGATGGCACCGGAGGAGCCGATAAGCGCACCCACAATGGTCAGCAGGTTGTTGTTGAGCAGGAAGCCCTCGGCGCACAAGGCCCAGCCCGAGTAGCTGTTCAGCACAGTGATGACAACAGGCATGTCAGCACCTCCAATGGCAGCTGTCAAGGTCACACCCTGGCAAGAAAACCAAAGTAGAACCCCAAGTGAGCATACATAATCAAGGACCTAGCATTCCAAATCTTGGTTCTTAATCACTCCAATGTCCTAATTAGTATTATTTCCATAGAAATTCTACTTCTGGTGATGACCAAGTCTCCAACATGACCAGCTCTCTCTCACTGATGTAGCAACTAGGAATATTTAATCACACACACACACACACACACACACACACACACACACATGCACGCGCAAAATCCCCTCAGTAAAAGTAGTGGTGAAAATTGGCAGAAACTGGAAAGGAATCTCCACTAGGAAAGATTAAATGATACCAAGTGAATGTCCCAGCTCTTGGTGGCTTTAGACTGAAGTCGGGCCCCTGCTGGTATCAAGTGGACAAGATAGAACTAAGGCCATCAGTCCACAATCTTACCTGTGTGACAAGCCAAAGGAAATGGTGGTTTTGGTGGCCAAGACAGTTGGAGAGTGGGAAAAAAAAAAAATACTACAAAGGAGCGAGCTAGAATGATTTGAAGGTGCCCCAAATGCTGTGTACAAACACTACCCAGATCTCTAGCTGATACTCGAAACTCTGGGTTAGACTGCAGGCAATTCTGTTAAGGATAAAATAACAACGGGTTTCAGTTGCTGAACCACAAGAGCCAGAATCTGAAACTTTAGTCTAACCAATTTAGCTGCCCAAAAACAAAAATAATATTTTTAAAAATGTAAAATAAATTGTGAATAGTTATCATCAATACTCTAGATGAATACAACAGAATCCAGTGTGTCTAAAAAAAAAAAAAAACCATCGTTGGCGATGCCCATGATGCAACTCAAAGTTATTAAATACAAGAAAGTAGAGATATGAGGAGGGCAGATTTTTACTATTCATTCCATATCTCCCTCCATTTTTGTGTTTTGTTTCTATGAGAGCATATAAGGCAAAAAGGAATTAAAGTATACTTTGTGTTATGGGGACATTTTCATATTCGTCATTTCTCAAAAATAACAATTCTTTAAATTTTAAACTTCTATATTATAGGTTTGATTACAGGGACTTTTGAAAACTTCTGCTTGATTAGATTAAAAATACAAAAATTATTTTACTAAAAATAAAACAAAAAAAAAGTCATCACCAGGTAAGACAGGAGGAAACCAGATTGTAAAGCACACCAAGACAGAATTTCAAGTCCCTTTCTAGTGTCCTAAAGTGCCTGTACTGACCCGTGACCTAGCCTTATGACCACCCATGAGTAAATCCCATTTATATACTATAGATTCTGTACTTCTGAATCAAAGAGCCAGGATTTGATAAGGAACCACTAGATGGCTAACTCTGTACTGGGTGCTATGAATATTTTCTCAACTTTAAATGCAAAGGCTATCTACAAAGTACAAGCCAGTCTAGAAGAATGTGAAGAAGCAATCGTAAATAGCAGCAATTCCATGTAATAGCATTGTCTGCTGATAAAATGCCAAACTGTAACACAGAGACAGAATCTCTGTTTATATCAACATATTATATACAAAATCAGACAGGGGAGGAAGAGAGAGCTCATGAAAGGAAGAGCTCTCTCAGTGAATACACTGGGTTCGCTAACTATAACTCATTTTACATTAATTATTGGACTCCATATCACATCTTCCGTGGAATGTGAGAGCAACTTACAAGCTGTGGCTGCTTTACACATATTACACAAACTTGTTATACAGTACGTGCCTACTGAACAGAGTTTGAGTCCTTGGCTTTAAAATTCTTTTTTACCAACACGTTGGTACAGTAAGAACTCCAGAGTACTACGGCTATCAGATGTGACAACCTTTAAACAGTCAAATAAGAGAACTTCTTCTCATACTTCTTAAACTTTAGACATTCTAAAGTGATGGGCATGTAGCTGTTAGACATTTTTTGGTTCCCTCGTGGATCTTGAACAGACAGAGACATGATCAGATCCTAGTCTAACAGTGTATCCCCAGCTCTTCCTGAAGTATGTGTTTCTCCGCCTCCAGCGACTCACCATGAGCGTAGAGAGTGCAGCCACGGAGCCCAGACAGGTGATGCCAGTGGTAAAGCTGGGGTCGAGCATAAATGGGATTATTCCACCCACACCAGCAGCTAGCAGGCCTGCGTTCAGTGCATGCCTTCCAGGCAGCAGCAGAGGGGCTGATTTCAGAATACCTGGGCCGAAGCAGATGTTACTCAGAACCCAGAGGGTATCGTGGGAAACGCTACATGTCACTTAATCCTGTTAACATCAGAATAATAACGTGGTACTTCAGACATCACTTTACAGCACCACATATGGAAACATAAAGGCATGTTAAAAGTTCTACATGTAACACACATCAGCAGAGAATGAGAAAATATGGTTCAACTTAACTGTTCTTTTCCCTATTTTTTTGACCACATAATTTCTTTATTCTGTCATGGAATCTTAAAAACTAACCCCCCCCCCCGTATGACCAACACAGAAGTTGTTAAGTGTGGTTTTGTTTATTTACAACTTCAATACGGAGTTCTGGAACATTAGCGTTCCCAGCGCTATCAACTGAGCCCAAGGGAGAAGAACCCATTAGCTATTTCTAAAGAAAAAGCCTGAGACAAGAATGGCTTAGACTTGAAATTCATTTGTGATTTTTTTTTTTTTTAAGTTTCATGGAAGTTTCCCCGCTTAATAACTTGATTGTTCAGAGGCAAAACCATATTTTTACATCACACACGACTTTCTCTAGGGACTTGTTCTGCGACCACACTGCACGGAGGCTCTCTGGGATTTTCCTTTCTGCTCCCATCTTCACGATTCAGCATCGCAGGAGCAAAATTTGCCACAGCAGAGTGCTAAAAACATGTGCTGTTTTTTCAGAGTGAGAGTTCCGTTAACCAAACTTAGTGGACAATAAGCGTCTCTCTATTCTAGGAAACACAAGCTCATTTTCTGTAGACAATACACAGACCTCTCCAAGGAAAGGCTACAGAGGTGCTATTTTGGTCACATGTATTATCAAATACCCCTTAGTGTCTACAAATTTCTGTGGACTAATTGCTGTTATTGCCTGACTGCAGAAGAAATTGTCACAAAGCTGAGAACCTCTAAGAATTAAAATGGATTATCTTTTTGAGGGGGAAATAATTTACATGTGTCTGAGCGCTGTACAAACACGGGTTTTCTAACACTGAAACAAACCCATGGATACCCTGAATAATGGGTACTTCGCTCTATGTTATATCAAGTCACTTACCCTGTAACTTTCCATAGGCAACAAGAGACCCACTAAAGGTGACGCCACCGATGTAAGTGCCAAGGTAGGCCACAATCTTGGTGAAATTTGATGTTGCGTCCATTGCGAAATGTGGGTACTCTACAATGTACTCGGCCATGCACGTGAGCACTGCTGCCAAACCCACCAAACTGTGGAAAGCAGCGACCAGCTGAGGCAAGTCAGAAATCTGGATGCGCTTCGCGATTGCCAAGCCTGTTGGAAAACCAAGGCCAGAGAGAGATAAGCATGAGAGACCTCTGGGAAAGGACAGCTGTTAAGAACAGGGTTTGCATTGCTGTCACAAATGGAGATCGCCTGCTTCCCAGCGTGGACTGGATGTTCCTACAAAGACGAGGGCATAGAGGGAAAAGCCACTGGCTATATTCACAGCATGTCCGAATGCCTCATTATTTCGCCTCATCTAACCAACATTGAATGACGTCATCCACGCTCCACTTCTCCAGAACTTCTAATGCTCCCCTGGACAAAAGCTTAGGAAGGTTACTTAAAGCTCCAGTTAAGTCCCCTAACGGTGTTCCACTGAGTGAATACCCCAGGCTCTCTTCTCCGCAGCCAGTGCTTACACTGTGCATAGGATTAACAGATGGAATTCTGAGTAAATAAAATTAAGCTTGGGTTTTCAGGAAAAGTGGAGCTAAGGCCAAAACTGAAGAAAACTTCTGGGAAATAAACTCTCCAGTTCTGAAGAACTTTCACAGTCGCAGTGAGTAAACACAAAGTAGTGCCAGTGCGGATCATCAGGGTACTTGTTGAAGGTCGTGTGTGAGCAATTTCCCACCATGAGCCTACAGTGCAACCATTTTCCTTCAAGCGTCTTTCTTGGAATTGTCACAAAAGGACCCACAGCTTTCCTGAGGAAGTGTAAAAGGGGGTCGAAAGCAAACATTCTGCTGGGAAATATCTAACAGCCAGCTCACAGGAGCGGAGGGCGCATGTATGAGTTTATATAAAGGTGAATGCACGACCTTCAAGTAATAAAACGTGTGTGTGTGTGTGTGTGTGTGTGTGTGTGTGTGTGTGTGTGTAGGTACGTAGGTAGGTAGGTAGGTAGGTACTTATGAAAGCCAGAAGAGAACATCAGATCAGGTTGGACCTGGTGTTACAAGTAGCTGTGAGGCACCTAACATTTCAGAGGATAATGAAAGAAGAGCTTCTGTTTGTGGTCTGAATAGTGGGAGGCAAACATGTAGCAACCACACGTAGGACCTCTTCGCTAACTACAGTAACAATTTTGAACACAGAAAGAATGCTTGCTTATTTCTGTACTGATCACAATGTAATCACTATAGTCACATTTTAAACTTAAGTTATATTGTTTTTCAATCACTTTCTTAGGTATAGACAAGAAACAGCAGGTTTGTAGTTTGTCTAAACCTTCCACTGAGAACAATTTCAATCTACCAATGTGATGCCATCAAATGGGGGATGGGAAAAAACACTATGACAGCCTGCTATTACACAGTATTTCTACTATTAGCATGCAAGAGATATGAATAACCTCAAGTGCATATTAAAAAGTCTGGTACACTAATAAAGGGATATGTTTTATTAGTGTCACCTTTGCTTCTCAAGTAATTTAAATTTATTTTATTTAACTTTTACTTGTTTTTGCTTTATGTGTATGGATATTTTGCATTCCTCAAAATATATCTCCAATATTAAAGAATTTTTTTTAATCTTAAATATCTGAGCCTAATGCAAAGGACATGAGAGCATCTAAAAGGAGAAGCCCACCAGCGCTTACCGATGGTACCACCCATGGCCATCGCTCCAGACATCTGAGCCAACAGTTGTGGATCTGGCTTCAGGCCTCCGAGTGTGGCTGCCAGGCCTCCTGCAACACCAATCATGCCCAAGGCATTGCCAAGTCGAGCTGTTCCCTGAGTGGAAAGGCCACCCAGGGCACCAACACAGCACAAGCCTGAGCCCAGGTACATGATCTTTCAGAAGGAAACAAGAGAAAAGGGATTATTAAAAAAAAAAAAAAAAAAAAAAAAAAAACTTCACAGATCTCCTCTCTTGTGGAACTCGATTCTCTGAGGACAATTTAAATTCAGACATTCGACAGATAGACCTGATCTCTTCTGTTAAAATTTCAAAACACTTTCCTATCCATCAGGAATATAAATATATTACATACTTTAAATTGTACTTATATTTATGCCATTTATATGAGTTGAGTTTTTTTTTTTTTTTTTCTGGATTTGATAGTGTCCACAAATACATTAAAGTACTTAAACTTAAATGAGGTTATTGTTTGTTTGCTTTTGGGGTTTTTTGTTTGTTTGTTTGTTTGTTTCACACAGGTTTTGAGGATCAAACTCATGTCTTCATTCTTGTACAGAAAGCATTTACCAACTGTGCTACCGCCCTAGCCCCTACAACAGTGGTTCTCAACCTATGGGCTTTGACTCACTGGGATTAAATGACCCTTTCACAGGGGTCCCCTAACACTATTGAAACACGCAGATAGTTACATTACAACTCATAACAGTAGAAAAATACAGTTATATGAAAATAATTTTATGATTGGGGGTCACTACAACATGAGGAACTGTACTAAAGGGTCCCAAGGAAGGTTAAGAACCACTGCCCTACAATACAAAAAATTTAAATTCTATGGGGCTGGAGTGATGGTTAAAAGCACTGGCTGCTATTATAGAGAACCTGGGTTAAATTCCCAGCACCCACACAGTGGCTTAAAATAGTCTGTAACTCTAATAACAGGGATCCAACCCCTTCTTCTGACCTCTTGGGGCACCAAAAAATGCATGTGCGCATAAAATAATAATAAAAGAACAAAATGTGTCTTTAACTTTTTTTTTTTTTTTTGGAGACAGGGTTTCTCTGTGTAGCTTTGTAGACCAGGCTGGCTTTGAACTCACAGAGATCCACCTGCCTCTGCCCCCCAAGTGGTGGGATCAAAGGCATGAGCCACCCACCATACCTGGCTACCTTTAAATTTTTTTAAATACTATATTTTCATAAGTGTATTGCATAATGTCTTTTGTCATAAACATTTTTTTGTTATAAAAAAAATTGTGATCTATTTGTGGAGGAGGAAAGTATAAACATTTTCAACTTGACTACTGGTTACTTCACTGTGCCCTTACAACAATCCGGACAAGCACATAAGGGTAGTACAATTCCCACATGTAGAAAAGTTAAAATGAATAAGCCACACCCACTCCTGGTCCTTAGGAAATCAGAATGGTCTGTTCGAACGGGTCCCTACTGTCTTTGCTGACAGAGCTGCATGTTTTTGATCGTTTTAATTCCTCTAGTGGCATTAACTCTAAAAGGGAGACACAGTAACAGAAACAAAAATGCCCAAAGGTCTCTTACCTCTTCGATGTTATAACCACTGTAGAGGGCAGCTAAATATCCACCCACAAAAGTGCCACCAGGGAGCAGATACAGGTAATTGTATTCCGGGGGATCTGTGGGTCGCTTAAACATGTCCAACATTCTCTGAGTTACCAGAAAGCCACCTTGTTGAAGAGAGAGAAACACAGACAGCAAGAGGGATCGCATAGGACGGCGTGACTCTTTTTTTTTTTTTTTTTATATGCTGCAGTACCTTTGCCAGGTACGTCTTCATCACCAACCATCACAAAGCGACAGCTATTATTTCAAGTAATAGTTTTGACCCTCAAAACCAAAAGTCATTCTATTATCAAAGCCAGTTCCCTTGGGATGGGAGCACAGGGAACCCTCAATACAGTTGAGAAGAAAACTTGGTATCGGGATGCAAGGCCAACTGCTTCTGCGTGACTAAAAGTAAACTTAAAAGCTTGAAAATACAAAGCATCGAAAGTCAGTGTTTTACTCCGATGGGCTACTCCCTTTGTCAAACTCTGTGACAGACGATAAGGGGGAAAATACTGCATCAACAGACACCAGGTTTCTTGGACGCGTTAAGGAATTTTTAGCTGTAAACCAGCATCAAGTGAGTGCCATACATGAGTGATGTGCTAGCCTTTCAGTTTTCAGGAACAAACAAAGCGTGATAAGGCAAAAAGGCTAAAGCTTTGTCTGCAGCTGTACTTATCCAGAGATGTCACGGTGATAGCAGAAGTCAACATAATTCAAGGCTATGCATTCCGAGGCTTTCCCGTTAGCTTCTAGCAAGACTCATTGGGCAGCTGAGGGTATGGACGGATTGGTTCTTTATATCAGTACAGTTCCTAACCAACCGTTGCAGATAGGCAAAATATTTGACTTTCCTTCAAAAAGGAACATTAGTGGTCTGAGAAAAAGTCACTTTTAAAGGCACAGTTCAGTGCTTAAACTCAGAAAGTCTACTTTGCAAGACTTGGTGTTTTGATCCCTTTGTCACCAAAAAACAGAGCGGTCTGAGCTCTTTCTTCTTCCTCCTACCTGCAATGTTGACTGATGATATGAATGTAGCAAGAGCAGCAAGACTCTGCGGAGCCGTAGAAGGATAAAAGTGCCCTCCCATCAATGCCAACCCACCAACTGCAGTCAAACCTAGAAAGAAGACATCAACATGATGAGTAAGTACAGTGCCCTCTCAAAATCCAGTGTGACAACCGAAATATCAAAAGACAAGACAGTCTCCATTAAGATGGTAAGAGCAACAGGAATCTTCTTGATCAAAACTGTTGACAGCACGCCTGTGCATCTTTCTTACTTGAAGTACTATTGTGGACAAGCCTTGCATCCTTTGGCACAAGGATATGACCTTCAGCTTCCTACCTACGTTCTCATCAAGGCAAGTCAGCAATGTCACTAGAGCACTGTTTAGAGAGAAATGTGACTGTGAATAGATACCTTGCAACCAAATTACAAGGAGCTAATCATGATCTATAGGTGTTTATCAGGTTGCTATCAATTTGAGCTTTTCCAGAGTGTGGCACTTTTTGAAACTGGATGTGCTCCCTGCAGAAATACTAGGATCTATGCCTGGGACATCCCAAGAGATAATCATGTGCCCAATCACTTTGGCTACTCAGATGGTTCTCATTCCCTCACATCTAAGCCGTTGCTGGAGGTCAAAGAGGACAGCTCCTTGCAGCCATGAGTACTGCTATGAAAACCCTCACCAAAGAAAGATGCCTGGTACCAGTCCTAGCCAGCTGGTTCCTAGCCCCTAACCAGTGTGGCCAACCCAAGCCATACAAAGCCTACTATATATATAGCCTTGTGGATTGAATGTTTAGTTGATTCTAAGAAGAGACCCTGGAGGGTGTTGCAACTGATTCTGTGAGACACATTTTGTTTTTTAAACTTCATCAATGGAATCCTTTCCTTAAATTAAACGATAATTGGAAGAAATATTAATGGATCCATGCCACTGGAAATTGGAACACAGGAAGGGCTAACATTCTATGGCATCCTGCTTGACAAGGCCACTCACCCTTGGGAATCCCCAAGCCACTGCAATGGCTGCAGTAAACACCAGGAGTCCAGATTTGAGAAATGCACTTTATAAAGTTCATCGAAACTACTCCTAGAGCTGAGAAGCCTATGGCAGACTGAGAGCAGAGAACAAAAGAAGCGAAGGACAAACCTGAGATCGCATTCGTCACAGACATCAGTGGTGAGTGGAGAGCAGGGGTCACTCCCCAGACAGTGTGGTAACCAATAATGCCGGCCAGGCCAAAAGTGGTCACCATCTGAGAGAAGGCTAGATTGGGGGCCACAATGCCCAAACCCAGCATCCCACTGAGACCTAGAAGAGAGAGTAGGTGAGATGGCTAGCAATGACCTCAGTAAAATAAAAGTACATGTTCTCTCTCTCTCTCTCTCTCTCTCTCTCTCTCTCTCACACACACACACACACACACACACACACTATAGAATAGTCAGTGTCTTAAATTCTGTCCCCTTGCCAATAACCAGCAGATTATTAAGACAATTGACTGCTAAGATGCAAGGGAGATTATGGACAAAATCTACCTTAGCTGACCACTCCTCCAAAATGAAATGCAAAGATCTAGTAATGTTTAAGAGTCACCTTCATAATAATTTGCACATTTCCCTGTGCCTAACTTCGTTCTCTTCCCTGTTTTAACGTTTACTGACAGCGTCACATGTGTTTATACATGCATTTTTCGTCCAAAATGACAGGCCTCCAGAAGAGCTACAGAGCACTTTCTACTCAGGCAGGATATAACCTTTATGAGACGGGACTTTTATGAGGCCAATTTTATGTCACTCTGAGTTGTGGCTAAGCAAGAGAGGTTTTCAAAGACCAGGAAGGATTTCATTCACTCCAGCACCTCCCTGAAACATATGGCTTCCACCCACCCAGGACAGAAATTTTGCAATTGCTCCTGAATCTGGACTGGACTGCTGGCCAGGACAGTCAGCTCCAGCCTCAACACCAAGTCAGCAAACAGTTTTACAAAGAAAAGAAGGGGAAAAAAACCCTACAAATTAAATTAAGAATGTGCAGAATACAAATAGTCAGCTCTGAACATACATCTTTAATTATCGCCTTCCTTAATAACAAACATGTGGATGGCTGTTCTGCAACAGAAGAAAGGGTTACCTAGTGGTCAGTAAAAACAGAGACACTCAGCTATGCGGGAGCTGGAAGCACCATTTCCTGAATAAGGGGCCTTGATTTCTCAGCAAGAACTATTGCTCTGTAAGTGGTGTGGCTGAAGGAACAGCTGTAAGTGGGCAGTTTGCTTTTAGTTGACTATTCTTAATGTAATTTCCCTACTCATATTCAGTATCTCAAAAGTTCTAACACATGGCTTGCAAAACTCTGGAAAGAGAGTCAGATAAAAGCTCTGGCTTTCCAGTTACTGATAAGACACTCAATATAGGGTTATGATTAGTCATGTTTTCTTAAGTCAGATTGCCTAATTCAAATCCTCACCCTGCTGCTTGCTGGTGACTGATCTTAGACATGCCATATACCTCTCTCTGTTTCAATGTCCTCATCCACAATATTATTAACCCTCCATGTCTTTCTCTCAAACGAAGAACATGATAACATCCCACATCACTGAGTTTCTATAAGGCATAAATGAGCTAAGGTATATGAAACACGTAGCTCATTAAATGCTAGCCTCTATTTGGATCACATTAGTTGGAAATTACTAACTCAGCAAAGCCCATAGTGCCTCGTGATGGAAAAAGACACAGATAACACCACATGTAGGATGGTTTTCTTATCAACTCTCTATCTAGCACAATGCCTTGCCTCCATAAACATGACAGAAACCTCAAAAAACAAGTCACCACTTAAGCCCTGCTCCATTTCCTTCTGCATCTCAAAGAGAAATGGAAATTCACGGTGCTGCTTAGAAAACTCCCCACTAGCAACACAATCATTTTCTTTTTCTTTTTCTTTCTTTTTTTTTTTTTTTATACAAGTTGAGTGCAAGCAGGGACACTGGCCCATCTCCTCACAATGTGCACCCAGAGGAAGCTTTTCAGTCATCTTGCTGAGCCTTGCTCTTTATTCAAGGGGAGTTACACATTTAGCTTTAAGACATCTGGGCCCGCATGGGAATTTGGGGAATGCTGAGCCTTCAAGAATCCTGTGTGCCTGCTGCTGCTCCCTTAATTCGTTATAGTTTGCTTGTGTTTTGTTTTTTGCTTTGACACTAAGCAGATCTAAACATGTCTCATTCCTTCTATGAGGAAGAAAACAATTTTCAATCAAAAACCCTCATTTTAGCCCTTCACAATATACAGCTAGGAAGAATATGTCTCGCCATTTTACAGTAATTCTGTAGTGATATCAAAACAATTGACTCAAAAAAAAAAAAAAAACAAAACTTGTGATCAGTTATAAAGAAAACAAAAGTCAAAATTAAAATAAAGTTTCTTAGTAAGTTACTTCAAATGTCTAATATTCAAGGCTGTCCCTTGCCTCACCCTATTTATAATTCAAACGAGTGTTTTGTTTCTCAGTCTTACCCAGTTATACAGATAGCCACAACTAGTGTTTTACAAGGCACAAAAAGATCTTGAATAGATTTGTATACATTTAACATCAGCACCCTCTGACACCATTACTCAGCAGTTTACGTGGGTTAATATTGACGGCTACATTGAAGATGCTTCCTGTAAAAATGTATTAACACCCTATGTTATTTCACATGCCTTCACTCCAGTACTTAACATGGTGCCTGTGTTATTTTGGGCAGTCAATGTAATCTCCAAGCCCACAGAGGAAGGACCGGTAAAGTCAGACCTATCAGGCCCAGGATAATAGGATCCAAAGAATAACAAGGGTATTCCATTTACTTATCATGACAATTGGCATAATACAGGCAAAACCCAATTAGTGCTGAGCCTTGATAACCGTTGTCCTCACCTGCCGCATACATGGATGCTGTGGTCAGTGTCCTTGTATACTCTGAAACAGTGCCTGCTTTCTCGGCGTCCAGCTCAGCCACCGTCTTCTGTTTCACTGGGGCTTCTACAGGGATGTTTTTTGGTGTGGGAGCTGGGAAAATCACATTGCCATCCTAACAAATATTAGAAAATAATATTTTAAAAGTCAAATTGGCAGTTCAAAAATTACTAACAGAAGATGGCTCACACTGGAAAAAAAATTGTGTAAATATAATTTAATGCATATTAATGTATATGTATAATAATGTATATATCTAATTTTAATGTAAATTCATATAATTTGCAAAATGGGTATGGTGTTAGTGTTACACATTTGTAATTTTTTATACCTCTAGGGCACATATAAAAGAATTCTGATCAAGCCCTGAAAAGTAAATACATGACAGAATAATTCATTTTTATTTTATTAGATTTCTGGTTTTCAAAAGTGATGTTATGTTTTCAATGCTAATACATACTTGAGTCTTTGAAATACTTTCCTTAAGTCATTCTCTACTTTTAAACAATTTCCATTGGCATGACAATGTTTTATTACAATAAATCTCTATTCTAAAATGGGGTTCTTCTGTGAACAGAAACCCTAAATCCAAGTTACATTAAGAGCACAGGAGGAGGGGAATATCCTACCTTCATTACCACAGTTCCTCGAATGACATGACTCATTGTACCAAAGTCAAAATCATCCTTCACTTCAAAATAAAAGTTATCCTTGTCAGGGCTGATGGCCTTAAGGAGTTTGGTGATGTTGTTGGAGTATAGAGTGCTGGCCTGAGTGGCCATCCGGCTGGGAAGGTCTGTATAGCCGATGTGAGTAATTCCCTAGATGAAAAAGCATATTGTCACAATAGCCAATCCCCTACCCTTACATCCTCTCTTGGACAATTCTCAGGCACAGTTAAAGCATGATATAAAGAGTACATATCTTTGTGGATACATACATATATACTCATAAACGTAAATACGCCTTCCAACGTGAGCTTTAATTATGTCCACTTTTTAAATCTTTTCCCAAGCTTCCGTGGATTTTTATTTTAAACTTTCTGACTTCAATGTCTACAAATACTTAAGAGGAATAAACAGCTCTTACAGAGGACTGTGTAAGTGATCTGTGGAAGAGCACTGGCCTGGTATGCGTGAGGACCTGGGTTTGATTCCCAACACTATAAAAGGAATTTAAATGGGAGGAAAAGTAAAAACCTCAATTTGAGGCTGGCAATAGGACCCAGGAAGCCTTGGGGGAAGGAATATGTAGTCCATACAATCCAAGAACATTGTACTTGTATGTCAAACTCACAAAGAACTAGGAAAAAAAAAATCACTAGACACCAGAATCTACAGGCAGGAGACGTTTTCTTGGTATACCTTATGTACATAAAGTTCTCCGGGCTTAGTGGTCTCAAAGTTTCCGCCAGCCTCAGCAGCTAAATCCACAACAACTGAACCTTCCTTCATTGATTCAATCATTTCCTTACTAAATAAAACGGGAGCTCTTTTGCCTGATGAAATCAAAGAAAACAGTACAAATTAGGATAATTCTCCTTGTTGTTTCGGTGTGCTCTGTGCGTCCGAGGCTTGGCTACGTGGAAAGTCGGTCCTTTGCAGAACAGTCATAAGACTAGATCAGCCATCCACTTTGGGGAAAGATGTGCATGTGGGCTGCAAAGAGGGCACCATTCAGCTGGCCAGCAAGCCTGGCTGAATGCTTGGCCTGAGTCATCTCAGCCATGCTCTTCCCAGCTGGCTTACATCTAGCACCATTTACTGAGAGGTTTCACTTGTTTAAAAAGAATACGTAAAATAAGCCATTATGGAAACTATGTCCACCCAAGCTGAACAATTCGCAAAGGTCACACATGTCAAGAGTACATTCAGTACTAATTTATGAATTACAAAATAGGATATTTCCATTCCTTTTAGCAAATGTCACCAGATTTTCCAAATCATTACCCACCTTAATTTAACACAGGATAGCAACTAGAAGAGACCAGAAAGTGCCATGAAATAAACACTGGAGCGTTGCACGGCTCCAAAGGGTCGGGAAGCATGCCTGCACTCTTATTCCCAGCTATTGCTCCTCTCTCTGCCTGTGAAGTATTCTCTACACCTGGTGCTGGGGGTGCAGAGGGGCATAAAGAGCAGTGTTCCCTGTTCTCGTGGGATACACCCTTCTTACGTGCTACTCCACAGTTTAAATTCACAAGGTGTTTTAGGAGGCTCACTAGTTCCTGTATGAGATAAATCCCCAAGAAATACCTGAGCCAAAAGAGAAAGTAAATACTCTTGCAAGATGGGTAGACTAAAAGCTGGGCACCAACAGCCTCGTTTCGATCCCTCCTTCTTATTTTCAATTTTATACTTACAGGCTTTTAGTAAACATGCCGTCTGTCTTATATACCGACGTCAATTAAACATTATATCTGCATTAAAGTTATCAAACCGCTTGACTGAGATTCATACGGTTCCAAAAGGAAAAATAATATTTAGTTGTAGTGCACATGAAAACAATTATAAGGATCCTGCGTGTGGGTGTTTGGGGTTACCTCAATCTCTATTGTACAAACTTCGTACAAGACAAAGCCCAGGGTGCGCAGTTCTTCCTAACATCCCCACGTGTGGCTCCTCTTCTGGGCCATCCACTTCGGCAACACTGGACCAGCTACCACAAGATCCCTCGAATGGCATGGCTCTCTCTTCCGAGTCCCCATCAATGAACAAGAATCAAGGAGCATTTTCTCCTTGTCAGTGTTCCTTACCCCTTCTCTCCCCAAGCAGTAAACAAAGGCACCTTGGATATCTTCCTGAACCCTGAGAATCCAAGAGGGCTAACCATATATATCCATAAGAAAACCCATACTTCTCTGCTCTCCGGGAGATTGGTAACCAAACCGAGGCAGCTGCTTCCACACGCAGGTGAATCTTAAGTGCTGGACTATCCTTTCCAGATGTGTGCTGTCCTCACCATCTCACCTTTTTATGCAGAGCTGCTGCTCAAACTGCCCATCTTCTTGTTGTAGCTTTTATTCCCACCGTATTTATGCCCTCCAGACTTGGGCCCCCTGGCATAAAACAGCTGTTTAAATGCAGGATGGTCCCCTCTGGCTTCTGACTAACACAAACGGTGGCTACTGATGCCACAGATCTTACTTGGCAACTAAGCTGTTCTGCTGCAGTAATGGCAGATTCTTTTTGTGTTCATCTATATCTGATGGGGAAAAAAAAATTAAGTGCATTTGTGTATGGGGGTGGGGAGTATTTCAGTGCCAACGTGTACAAGTGGACGTCTGAGGACAGCTGTGGAAGTTGGTTCCCTCTTTCTATTGTGTGAGTCGCAGGGATCAAACTCGGGTCATCGGATTTGGTAGCAAGTGCTCTCACCCTGAGACATCCTACCAAGTCCAATATGTGCTTTTGACCTGCAAGTGTTTCTTGGGGGTTTTTGTTTGTTTGTTTGGGTTTGGGTTAGTTTTTTGGTTTTTAGTTTTGTTTTTTTTTTTTTTTTTTTTTTTTTGTTTTTGTTTTGTTTTGTTTTTCCTTGGTGCTAGAGGCTGAATCCATGGCTTATCTATTTCTAACCCAAATTTCACCTTTTTAAAATATACCTTCATGGCCTATCTATATATAACTTAAGTTGTATTTTGCGGAGGGGGATGTGATTTGGGAGAGGGAATCCTATAGCCCGGGCTGATCTTAAAGGCACAATGTAGCTGGATCTTACCTTGAACCTCCTAATCATACCACCTCTACTGTACAAGTATTTGGGTTACAGGAATGTGTCCCCGTACCTGGCTAGATCAAATGGCTCTAGTGACACCCTGTGGTCTTTACACTAAGTAAGTATTCAATGTGAAACTATATACGATTGTCTCAAAAATAATTGAATTTCAGAAAAATAATTAAAAAAAAAAAAAAAAAAAAAAAAAAAAACGACCTAAGTTACATGAAGTCACCAATGTGGGAAGGTGCCTTTTTAAAGCTGTGTCAGCTGTGGCCAAATTTAATAAATAAAGGTTGAATGAATAAAATTAGGGAACATGGATTAAGGAATCCAAAAACTTAGGCCATGCGATGTCTTGCTCAAGTGCAGTCACCGGTCATACTTTTACAGTACTTAACAGAATACGTATGTTTAAAATACATATGCCTACTTTATATATGCATATGTTAAGTTATCCACAGACTATAAACTTGTAAAAAATCCTGTCATAGAGCACTCAGCAATATCGCAGTATATTTAAGCGATAAGGCAAATTTATTTTCTTGCCTGTACTTTTGCTTATCTCCCAAATGTCCTAATTTTAAAATTAAGGAATCTCAATAAGGACGGGGGGAGGACAGTGAAGGACAATGGCACGTTGGCCTGCAAGCACACTCACATGTGGATTAACTTTTTTGTTTTTTGGTTTTTTTTTTTTTTTTTTTTTTTTAATTCTGGAAACTTCGAAAATGAAAATTAAAAACAGAAGGGGAAAGAATACAGCCAAAAGTGAAGCAGTGGAGTGAACAGTGTGCTCCAAATGAGAGACGCTCGAAAGAAGAGTCTAGAGGGAAAAAACAGGGAAGGTGATTTCAACACAGGGTCTTGGCGTTAATAGTCTAATATGATAAAAACGTAACTGCATGATAAACCAAAAAAATAAAGGAAAGACGGGGCCATCAGTGGCTTAGCTAGGTGTGGGGGCAAGCTTCCTGTGCCAACTGAACATACAGTCCAGGTAGGTCACAATTAATTGTAAGAGAACTGACCCAGAAAGAGGTGGAGGGAAGAGGACACTTTGGATCTTTTTCTGGTCTATGGACTTAACAAGGAATTTCCTAAACTTAAAACAATAAGGAAAATTACAAAAGACACAAGCCAGCTTAAATAATTCCAACTCTTATGAGCATCTGGATGCTTACACACACACACACACACACACACACACACACACACACACACACACACACAGCCCCCCCAAAAAAAATTTTTTTAAGGGCAGACTAGTCCACATAGAGAATTCCAGGTCAGCAAGGCAAACAAAGTGAGATCCTGTCTCAGATAAATAAAATTGAGGGGAAACAAAAAGAAAGTAAATTTAAAATATTGCTATCCACAGAAATTAAAATAAAAACAAAATATTATAACAGAGGGCTAAAGAGATGGCTCGGTGCTTAAGGCGGACATTATTCTTGCAGAGGACCCGAGTTTCACTCCCAGCACTCACAACTGTCTCTAACTCCAGCTCCAAAGGATCCAATGGCCTCCTCCTACACAGACAGAAACACACACACAAATAAATAATAACTGGAAAAGAATTTTAAAGAAAATGGTTTTGAGTCATTGTTTAAAAAATCTTGATAGTTAACTGATAATATAAACAAATGATCAATTTTTTAAAAAAAGGATTTTTAAAAAATGTTTATTGCCCAGGAGAATTATAAAAATATTAAGTATAAAAAGTGAGAAATTGTTTTGGCTTCTCAAACTAAGAATCTAAAACAATACGAGAATAGAGATGGGAAAGAAGGCAGATACTAGAGGGCTAAGGGTGGGTAATAAGGAGGTGAATATGACCAAAAACCATTCTATGCACATATGGAAATGCACAGTTTACTTAAGCTAATAAATACAAACTGTTATGCTTTACATTTAAATGAAACAACTGGACTATCTCTTGATGAGATTATGAACAACAAAATCTTTAGAAAGTCATTTGCTGGTTATGTGGAAATTAGCACAAGGAAGTACTGGAATCCACGCCCTCTGTTAGTTATAACTTTTATTCTGGAGAAGTAAATGAAAATACAGACGTAGGAATTACACAGAAAATGTTATCAGCATCACATATCATTTTTGCTTTAAAAAAAAAATAAAATATCCCTGGATAATCACAGCCAATTCTTCATTTAAATTAAGAATACGGTTTGATATTTATTACCAAAAAATGTTAGAATGAGAATTTCATGTTTTCTAAGACGCAAACACAGAAGAAAGTGGGGGAGGGGAGGCTACCAAAAGCATGGGTAAGAGGTCTGGGGGAGGGCATGGGGGTTCTTGCTTTTCAAGGTACAGTTGGGCTTTCCCATTCTGAAGCCCGGGGTTAAAAATTTAGTCATTTATCTAAAAAAAAAAAAAAGAAAAGAAAAAAAAAGAAAGAAAAAAAAGATAGGGTTTACAAACAGACCAGGATGTTTACATTTCCAAACACCCACCCATCTAAAAATCAATAAACAAATATGAAAAATAAAATAACAAGGAGAGAAGATCATTTATATATTTCCTGGCAAGATATGAACTGAGTTAAAGATTTGTCACAATCGCCATGAAATGTTTTTGTTTTGTTTTTTTTTTTTTTTTGGCCCTTTCTGGTCCATGGACATTGAGTTCCTCCCTCTATAAAGTTACTAAGGTCCTCCCCATTTAGGAATTATTTCCGTTCTTCTGCCAAGACCACGGTAAGACATCCACACTCACACACTCAGATACACATTGATTCAGACTCAGCCAGTAACCACTTGA